ACTTGAGAAGTAAACTGTTTTCTAAAAGTCTTATATAACTGTTTATTTTGCTGTCCTTTAGTTTTTACCAAATTGAATCTATAGATTCTGGAACTATACCTACAAAGATATTGGTGTGGCTAGCTCTTTGATGTTTTTAGAAATTTTTATAAATTTTTAGTAATTTTCTAAATACATCAAAGAATCGTTAAAGAACATTAAATAAAAGAACCGTTATCTACAAAGTTATTGATAGTTGAGTTTTAGGCGTATAATATTTCTATACCAATCCCATCCCACCACCACTGTCAACTTCCCTCCACCAGGGTTCCCACACTCCATCACCCCCAAATTGGCCCCCCACAACTGCCACTTTGACAAGCACCTTATAAAGTTCAGCAAATCTTAGACCTCATTTTTATAATGTTGCTGAGTCTGTGCTATGGATATATAACTATACTGATCTCCCATATCATCAATATAACTAAAGGTCTGAGCCCTGTTCCCCATTATTTCCTTTTCTCATGTTTTGATTTCTTTCCTTCTCTGTCCTTTTCCTTCCCACGCTGTAAGGTCAAGAGTGATCTGGGAATCCTCCTTTTACTACATTACATTTTATCATCTAGCTATTTATTTTATTTTTTTAGGGTTTCAATACAGATTTTATAAATAAATACACCGTAAAAGAAGAGGAAATGTGAAAGAGAATGAGAAAAAAGAAAGAGAACATAGGAGAAATTAGAAATAATATCAAGAGGAATAATTTCAGAATTATAGGTGTCCCAGAAGTAGAAGAGGCAAAAGAGAAGACTAGTGAAGAGAAATTAAACTCTTTAAATATGTATAATACCAGGATGTTATGTATAATACAACAGGTAAGGCAATTGTACTGCATGCCGGCAACCCTGGTTCAATCTTTGGCATTACATATGATCCCCAGAGCTCTGCCAGGAGTGATCCCTGAGCACAGATCCAGGAGGAACCCCTTAGTACCATTTGTATGTCCTCAAAACCCAAAGCAACCAACAACCAACCAACCAACCAAACAAACAAACAAACAGAAAAGGACTAAAGATGCTAAGGACAAAAATTTCTTCAGAGCAAGCTACTGTAATGCTGTGGCTTTTTATTTCTCCAACAATAGCAAGTAAAGTAAGCAATTCTTGAGAATAGGGTAAGGAGAAGTATGCTTGCTTCATGGATAATCTACTAAGAACGATTTCAAGGAGACAACCTGCATAATCGAAATCCATTGGAGGACTTTGCACCTGACTTGTTTCTGAGAAAATCTATCAGTAATAGGTGAGTGGAGGTGTGGCATCTAAGAACAGGCTGCACTGGAGTGAAAAGATGGTTCAGGCTCCATCTCCCAACATAACACATTCGCATAATCCACAAAGCAGATGTGGACCCTTTGGCTGTAAAAGGACTGTGTTACTTTGGGAAGATGCCTTTCTGCTAGCAGCAAGATGACCTCAGCAAAGGAAAACTACACAGAAGTGTAATATGGGAGTAGGTTGGGGAAGCGTGCAGGGGGCATGGAAGTATATTAATTACTTGAAAAAGAAGCACTGCTTATTTGGAGAGAATTGTGTCATAGGCACTGCCAGAGGCATCTACAAGGAAACCATGAAAGTGTGAAAGACAGAAAGAATCAATATTTCAATCTGCCACATACGGAGGTCACTAATATCCAAATATATCTTTATCAATTCAATTCTTTTGCTCTTTGTATGTTCTTCCTTCTGCACTTTGTAAAAGAAACCGGATATGGCATATTGTTAAGTAGGGACAAGAACTTGTTAGAAGAGTTAAAAGAGAAATAAACTGAAGTAAGAATAATAAACAGTAAAAACAATGGGCCTCATTCCCCTGACCTGAAAGAGCCTCCAATGTGGCAGCGTTAAGAAGGATGAGTAAGGAGAGGCTGATAAAATATCAGGGCCAAACTAGGCTGCCAAAACAAAGAAAGACTAAAATGACTGTCTGTACTTTCAATGCACATACACTAGCATCAAAGGCATCCATCGAGGACCTGATGGTGCAAGCACAGAAGACCAAGTACGACACCAACGTATTGACCAAGACAAGAAGGCATTGATCATATCACGCCGTTTTTGGTACTGAAGAAGAGCTATTCCTCAGAACATGTGACAAAAGAGGCGTTGGTGGTGTTGGTGTCCTCATCAACATGAACTTGGCCTTGAGCATTGATTCATTCGAATGCCTAACATGCCGGATTGGCTGATTACACTTGAATAGATGTGGCTCACTGCCATTAGTTTCTATCTTTGTCATCTACGCACCAACATCCAATTATGATGAAGAAGAAATAGAGAAATTCTACAAGGAGCTTGTAGAAGTCCTACAAAGAAGACCACACCCTCTACAAGATCATAGTTGGTGATTTTAATGCCAAGATAGGACCAAGAAGATCGCCCAAAGAACTCCACATTGGGACAAATGGCCTAGAATGGAACGAACAGGGTGAGAGACTATCTGAGTTCGTCATGTCGACCAAAACCATCCATGGTAAATCACAGTTCCAGAAGGTCGAATCTGATCATTGGACATGGGAGTCTCCCGGTGGACAGGTTTTTTTTTCTTTTTTTTTCTTTTTTTATTAGTGAAACACCATGAGGTACAGTTATAGGGTTACAAATTTTGTGCTTGGGTTTCAGTTATACAATGATCAAGTGCCCATCCCTCCACCAGTGCCCGTCATCCATCACCACGAGTCCCAGCATTCCCCCCCACCCTCCATACCCCCCGTCCCATCCAGCCTCTGTGGCAGGGTATTCCCCCTTGTTCTCTCTCTCTTCTTTTGGGTACTGTGTTTTGCAAGAGAGGCATTGAGTGGCAATCATGTTTGGTCTATAGACTACTTTTAGCATGCTTCTCCCACCCTGGGAGGGTCCTCATAACACCCTTCATTTGGTGCTCTCTTCTCTATCTGAGCTTCCTTTTCACCTAGAATGTGTGGCTGGCCTTCCATTCATGGAGCAAAATTCGTGGTACTAATCTCAGCCATTCCTGGGTGTTAGTCTCCTTTTTTGTTGCTTTATGTTCCCCAGATGAATGCAATCTTTCTGTGTCTATCCCTCTCTTTCTGACTCATTTCGCTTAACATGATACTTTCCATGTAGTACCACTTGTATGTAAATTTCATAACTTCATCTTTTCTAACAGCTACATAGTACTCCATTGTGTAACTGTACCAAAGTTTCTTTAACCAGTCATCTGCTCTTGGGCACTCAGGTTTTTTACAGATTCTGGCTATTGTAAAGAGTGCTGCAATGAACAAACTATTGCAGATGTCACTTCGACTATACCTTTTTGCCTCTCTGGGATATATTCCCAGGAGTGCTATAGCTGGGACAAATGGCAGATCAAATTCTAATTTTTTGAGAGTCGTCCATACTGTTTTCCAAAAGGGTTGGACCAGCCGGCATTCCCACCAGCAGTGAAGGAGGGTCCCTTTTCACCACATCCGTGCCAGCATTGGTTGCTTTTGTTCTTGTGGATGTGGGCCAGTCTCTGTGGTGTGAAATGATATCTCATTGTGGTTTTGATCTGCATCTCTCTGATGATTAGTGATGTAGAGCATTTTCTCATGTGCCTTTTTGCCATTCGAATTTCTTCTTTGTGAAAGTTTCTGTTCATTTCCTCACCCCATTTTTTGATGGGGTTGGGTGATTTCTTCTTGTGGAGTTTAACCTTGTATATCATTGATATCAACCCCTTGTCGGATGTTGCAGGGGGCCCCGGTAACCACTCTCCGGCCCGCAGAAGTGGCCCGAGGAGTGATCCGATGGTGCAAGGAGGGACCAACCGAATGAACACGAGACACAGAGACAGAGTACAGTTTAGAAACAGAGAGAAAAAGGGACAGGCTTTATTGAGGTATACAGGCTGTTTATATAGGGTCTGGGCAGCTCAGTCAGGAGCAGAGGCAATATAACCATATATGGTAAGGTCAGCAACAAGAGCTTTATCTAACATTCAAGGTAGACATTTGCACATCAAAGGGTCTTGTGGCAGTAGGTGCATCCTGAGCTTTACATTTGTATATCAAAGGGTCTTAGGGAGTAGATGCATCCTGGAGGTTACTATAGATAAGGCCAGATAAGCTGTCAGCCTGATGTGTGGCTATAGATCAGGTATCTGCTGAGATCAGGAAGTCCTGGGAGACTGTCACCAATGTCTGTCCCAAGCAGTTCCTAACATGGGAACCATGGCCAGGGTCTTTGAGAGGGCTCTTGGCTTCCCACATCTCCCCCTTCGATATTATATAAAAGCCTCATTCAGGGAGGTAGTGGCTGGGTCCCCCCGAGATTGCAACATACCTCTGTTTTGTGGAGGGGAGGATGAGATGCCCATCCCTCAATTCTCCTTGCTAGAAGGGAATTGTGGAAAAAGGCAGGGACAGAGGAACCTCCATGCAGACCCAGCATGCCTCTCAGGGAGTCGGAAACTGACCACAGGGCCATCCCTTGCAGTGCTTTGCCTTGCAACTGACGGGCTCCAAAAAGAAAAAAAGGGGGTGCAGGGAGCGGGTCCGACGCCACTACTCCCGCGACGGGAAGGTCCATTCGATAGACAGGCGGGGGAGCTCAACTGACCCAGCGGAGGCCTGCGACAGCCTAGCATCTTCCATAGCCAGGCGAATATAGTGCACCTATATGGGGTTGGTAGATAGAGAAGCTATCTGTTGTCTAACAAAAGCGACAATTCGGTTAAAAATGCAGGGGCCCACTGTAGCAATCAATAAAAGGGCAGTCAGGGGACTCAAGGGTGGCAACAAGTAAGGAAGTAGAGTGTGCAGGGCCCGCCCAGAGCTAGAAGGCTCAGGTTGCCAGTGTCTCTGCTCCAAACCTTCCCTTAGTTCTAGCATGGAGTTTTTAATCACTCCACTGTGGTTATCATAAAAGCAACACTCCTCCCCCAAGGCAGCACACAATCCCCCCTCTTTCATAAAGAGCAAGTCCAGTCCTGGGTGGTTTTGAAGGGCAATCTCCGACGTTAGCGAATCCTCGAGGTGAGAGATGGATTTTTCAAGGTGCTCTAAATCAGTATCCACGGCGACACGAAGTGTAGCTAAACCAGAGTGCTGTGAGGTCATGGTGGTGATGCACGTACCGGTGCCCGCAAGGCCAAGGGTGAACAGGGCAGAGATGGTGAGGGCGGTGACAGGCTCCTGGTGGACGGTGGGGTGTGGCAACATCGCGCCGGGACCAGTAATCATAAAGGGTGGAAGTTGGGTGGTACAAAATACGGGGACCACCAGAACAGTCATACAGAACTGTGAAGAGGAGTCGAAAGAGAGGCAGCAAAATGAGGAGTCAGGCCTGTCACTAAGCAGAGCCACCAGGCATCCTCAGTCGGGTCAAAGGAGGCAACCACTAGGGCCCAGAGAGTGTCTGCAGAGCCAGACTGGAGAGGAGGCAGAAATGGTGCTGACCTTATCTTAATCTCACTTAACAAAAACTGTACTCTGCAATGCTTCCATAGATACTCAAAAAGCCTTAAAAAATGCTCGCAATTAAAGCTCTTACAAGGTATGTTCACTGGGCAAAAGATCACTTTACATTAGAAATCAACCAGAAGACATCTTAAAATTCTGATTTCCAGGAAAACACAAATACAAAAGATTAAAGCACTCATAGATTATTATGAAACATTAAGTATTTCACACTTGTGTACAAAGCTTTCTGAAAAACAGGACTAGGTTGATACCTGGTTACAGGGTTTTGCATGAAATATATAATAGCATGTACTTTCAAGCACTGGACAGGTTGATTAACAATGTAGTTAGTAAAATTTCCCACATTTTCCATGAAATTCTCCATTCTCAGACAGAGACCATTACAAAAGGCTATCATCTGAGATTATTCCACTTTATAACTCTTAGAAGTTTTAGAAATTTTAGTTACGAAGAGTCTCAGAGATCAGATAGAGCACTGGTAAGACTAATTTTGCAACAAATTTTATAACTCTAGAAACTCATGTTTAAACTAAACCATTACTTTTTTGAACCTGTTTACATGTGTCATAGTTATTTTAACACCTTCTAGATCAAATATTCTAATTCAATGCAGATACAAATATGTACATTAACATAACATAAGACCTATGATCAATTTTTACAAAACATGATAAAAACTTCTTTGGCTTAATAGGGCTGGAGTGATAGCACAGCGGTAGGGCGTTTGCCTTACAAGCGGCCAACATGGCCGACCCGAGTTCGATTCCTCCGCCCCTCTCGGAGAGCCCGGCAAGCTACCGAGAGTATTCGATATGCCAGACACAGTAACAACAAAGTCTCCAATGGAGACGTTACTGGGCCCGCTCAAGCAAATCGACGATCAACGGGAGGGCCTTTACCTTACCTTTACCTTTTGGCTTAATAGTTCTTGTACCTTAATTATTTAAAATCATGAGCTTTCTATACCAGATATTTTTAACAATTCACAAAAATACAAACATGCTTTCAGACACAGAAAAAACCCTTTGGATTATTTAACCAAACTTTGATATTAGCATAAGAAAATATTTGAATTGCTGTGTGAACACAAAAAGGATGGCAGCAATCTATCTTTCCCACCGCCCGCGTTCAGTAGTGTCCCCAACTCCAGGGAGGTGGATGGCAATGGACAGGAAAAGGAAGGAAACCTTATGGCCAGGCTGCTTGACCTTAGTTGCAGTTTATTCCAATCCTCTCTTCATTCACTCTTGTATCTCTTCTGCCTCTCCCAGCCCATTCTTACAGTCTCATTATATCCCATAAAAGAAACTCAGGTTCTCTCAAGCATGTTTTCCCCTGTTCTCTCAGAACTCCTAGTAGAGAGCCCTGAAATCTCCTCATATAGATCATGGTACCTCTAAAGGGGCAATACAGTGATGTCATCAAAAGGAGAAAGAACATTGAGGCTACAAAACAAACATTGCTTTTTTACATCTGCAGGCCAGTAATTTTGGCCTCACCTTTTACAACCTACAAGCACTTGGATTATCACATCAAAGACCAATCTACATCTCAAAGATCAGGCCTGGCTAGCACCTGAGATCTGCTCTGTGAGATAAGAGAAGCTGCCTCTAACAGCAAGGTTTCTGTGAGATAAGGGAAGCTGCCTCTTTTAGTATACTGAAATTATTTACTGAAGGCAGTTTGAAAGGGAAAAAATGTTTAGCCTCATCCAAACTAGTCAGGACATTCTTCTAGGACAGATTCTCACTTAGCAGATTGACTGACAATTTACAACACAAGTTCAGTGTCCTAGAAGGATCTGATCTTACAAATTAACAAATTCTGTCTGGGGGAAAAGCTGATTAACTGGTTGGGGAGGAGAGTATATAAAAGTGGTTACTGAAAAACAAAGGAATAGAGGTGACTCAGGAGCACTGTGATGGGTGTAGCCTGATAAACCTTAGCTCCTTGTATCAAGGAAGAATGGACAAATCCAATTGTTATCCTATAAATTGCCACTGTTTAGGAAAATAAGGAAACTTCATTTTAATGGCTTCTGTACCTCTGTAGTTTATAAAAGCGGCCTACATTTTCATTAAAGTTAGCTGAGGCTTGTAAGATAAAGTCTTGCTTTCTTTGAACTCTTATTTCACTTTAGTTTCAGGCTCTAGTTCCATAGCTCTTCTAGATAGTACAAGATTCTTAAGTTCAAAAGGATTTCAACTGTTAATCACATAATCATTAATGTTATTCTATCAAGAAATTTAGATTGAGAATTCTGCTTTCTCTATAGGCTCAACCTTCTGATAAGGATTCACTCTTGTCTGGCAGGTTCCAAAAACAACTGCATTTCTTAAATCACTGGGTAGCATATTACTAACTTCTCTAAAATGTCTACTACTGATTTCAGCCTGGTTCCAACACTCGAGTGTTCCACATAGACAGACAGACAGACAGACAGACAGACAATGAACTGACAAAAACACCAAACATACATGTGCAAACATCTGCAGTTGATCAATCAATCTGACCCTTCAAAAGATGACAGGGAGAAACTGATGGTCTGAGAAAGGAAGGGACAGTCCCCAGGGCGAAGAAACCTTATCAGAGGATTGGGACCACTGCTCTCCATTTCCCAGCCTAAACAGCCAGTCTCCTGCTGTTAAAAATGGATCAGGAAAGCACTTGTTGGTATAAGCTGGCAAAATAAATTATCACAAAGATGTTACCACTTTTTGGCCAAGGCTAATTCTAAGGCAGTGAGATTCTTATCAGACATGGGGATAGGCTCCTTAGTTACACACTTCTTTGTTTCTGATGACAGTTAATCATAAGATCTTGCATTTTCCTGCCTCCTCTGCTTTGATATTCCTATTTCTTTTCTTTACCTGCAAAGATCTGACTCCAAAATGATCTGGTAATGCAAACTGCCATTCACTGGCTATCTTTCCCCACTATACTCAGGCCACATGGTGTTACAGAGGTCAACAAGATACTCTTTATCTAAACTACCTAGTTGGAAGCTCCTAGGATGTTTTTCTAATTGCAAGCAATAATCTAAAAAAAAAAACGATGGTTCCTTGGCAAAACTATTTTCCAGGTCTATACTTTGGCCTTTCGAGGGGATTCTAACCCCCTGTAAATTGGCCTTTACTTTGGCCTTTTACCCCTTTTTTTTCTTTTTTTTTTCTAAACTGCCTTCAATAGCATTTCAATTGACCTCTATCTTCTAGTTAGACCTGGGTGGGGAAAAGGATCTTAAGCCTGGAAATTGGCCTGCCTTAGTTTCCCAGAGTCTTTCTTACTAGTGGGCTTCCTCCTAGTAGAGGGTGACGCAAAACAGACAAAAGAGGGGTGCCCCTTTGCAGAGACCATTCACACAGAGGTTATCACATTCCTTCCCTATGCCCCCTAGAGATTTCCAGGGGAGTGTACCTTCACAGTAGATTTTCTACAGATTACCTCTTTTACTGGAGCCACATGATTTGTTGAGAAGGAATCTTGTGGGGGCCAATCCATACCAAAGGAAGGTCATTCTGATGAACAATAAATGCCAAACTTACCTTTCTTGACCCTCAAGCCCAGATCCTGAGCTTTCCTGTGGATCTCAGAGAAGTGATTAAGAATTAAAGCCTTGGGGGTCGATTGATTCTGACCCATGTCAAACAATCTTAACAAGCAGAACTAGGAGAAAGATATTAAGGCAATACACACACTAGGAACACACGCACAGATCACACTCATACACTCGCTCGGACCGGTCCTCCACTTACAGGGGTGCGCACCACACTCACCAGTCACACAGAGATATCCGAATTTGCCCAAAGGGCGTGTACGTGATTTTCACCTTCGGGGTTTCAGTTCTTCCAAGTCTTCTCCTGGCGCCAGGTTTTCCAGATCAAGTTACTAATTAGCAGTGCATAACTCTGGAATTCTGGAGCCAAAAAGAGGTCAATTTTCTCTTGCAAATACATTTTAGTGTTGTAAGGGGGAGGTCAGGAAGAAAAGGTAGGGAGGTGTGGGGGCCATTTGGGCTCTTGATATTGGGCAGCCTCCTGCTGGAGGTCTGCCTCATCCTCTGGGGATAGGACAGAAGGGGAGTCATGGTGGGGAGCAAAGGGTGGATCTGTGGGATTGTCCTTAAGAACTGGGTATAAACGAGGAACATTAGCCTCAGAAACAGCCATGAGGATAGTAACCGAGGGGCACTGGGACATGGACTTCTTCGCGGGAGAGGAGGCCCGAGAGATTTTTCTCTTGTAAGAAGGCCTCTGAATCTTTCACAGCATCCTCTACATCCGATTCAAAATGCCCTACAATCCACAAGGCTCCGGGGACCTCTCCTGGGCCAATGGTCAGATAGAAATCATTCAGGCACTCCCCAGTTTTTTTCCCTCAATCTCATTTAACATGACAAAGCTACTCTGTAGTGCTAGTAACTGGAACCTTGAGAGAGTCCCTAAGACCCACAACAAAGAGTTCCCTTTTGCTAAGCGAATTTCCCAAGGTCCTAAGAAAGGAGGGTGGAGGGAGAGGGAAAGAGAAAGGCAGCGTTTTCAAATGTGGGGACATGGATGTGCTTAACTGAGGAGTACCTAACGACGCACAGTTTTTCTTCTGCGGGGGACGCGATTTTATTCTGGGAATCGCGGCTGTGACCCCCTCATCCTGTCATGGGAGACTTCAAGCGGCGAGCCCCCTAGTGGCTTTTAAGTGCTTGACCCATGCCCGCAGGGAGGAAACGCCGGGAAATGAGA